CATTTCAGACTTCTGACCAACTGTATCACTACTAGTAACTGTATTATTATCTCCACAACTGTAAAATAAATTGATGTTGTTTTTAATCACTTAGTGTCTGATCGTTTGTTATAGCAGCAAGAGGAAACTAATACAATAATACTTTGTCATTTTCCTTTGTAGGTAATACAATGTCACACAGATAACATTCATTGTTTAATGAAAATGAACAAGATTTTTAGGATTTGTCACTAAGTTTTTACACATTATTCAATTCAATCTGATGGATTCAATAGTAATATTTCTGAATAGCTGAGATCTACTTCTGAATATATAGAATAATAAAAGAATTTTATTTCTTGGGACTTGAAGTTGTAACAGGGAAAAATTACTTTACCAATAATTCAATAGGCTTGATGGGTCTATTTATTTTGCCATCAACCCAATTACCTTTCTGTTTTTCAGCAGTCTACTAGCAAAACTCAATTACTGATGATGACTCAGACCATCCTCTTTCTTCAATGACTGCTGCCTTAGCTCTTGTTATGTCATCTCTTGAGGCTTAATGTGCAAAAATTGTGCAACCCAACTAGGATTCCACTGGGACACAGTTAACTGGCAGACGCATGCAGGGCAAATGTTTTCATTAGTTCATTCTCCACATTAAAAAAAAAAAAAAGCTAAATATACTCAATACGTTTTTAGTTTACAAAATGTGTGATTTCATTTAATCTATACAATAACTTGGTGAAGACTGTATTATTGCCTGCATTTTACAGTTAAAAAAAAGAAAAATTAAACATCAGGGAGACTTTCCAGGCTCTTGTAAATAACAGAAAGGAGATGTGAACTAAAATCTCTTAGTTCTTTATTCTGATTATACAACTAATGCAATTTTACTCTGTCACAGCTATCTTTGCCATTTTACCTCAATGCCATAATTCCAGATACAGATTTTGAAAACATATTTTTAATGACAAAATAACATACACATTATAAAATGATGTGGGCAATAACTACCCAAATGAGAAGTTTTAAATCACCCATAAGCTTACTACTCAGAAATAGCCACTATTATTGCTTTGATATATTTCTTTCTAAACATTTTTCTGTGCGTTTATGCAAGTATACTTTTTTGACATTGTATTTAGTTTTGTATCTCATTCCCTTTTTACTACATTTTGAATGGAGTGGGGTGGTATTCTAACCTTATTGTATTTAAATTTTTTCTGTAATGCCTTTGAGCAACCTATTTTGTAGGGTATTTGAGTGTAAATAAGAATTAGCCCACCCTTCATGAATTCACTTTTTTCAGGATTACAGCTGTGCTTCTTAAAATGCAGTCTGAGGACCAACAGCATCAGCATCACTTGGGAGCTTGTTATAACTGCAGATTCTCTACTGAGTCAAAGTCTTCGGGGTGAGGTCCAGGAATTCCTATTTTAACAAGCTCTCTAGGTAATTTCACACATGTAAAAGTTGGGACTGAAGTACCTGGTTTTTCCATGTGTGTTGATGTGGTAAAGGTAGCTTAGACCTACTGTAGGTTAAAGAAAGCAGAGTAATTTAAACACTCTGAAGAAACATAGAAGAGCTTATTTTTATATATTCCTTTTTTTTTTTTTTTTTTTAGAAATTTATTTTTCACTATGTTGCCCAGGCTGGTCTCAAACTCCTGGCCTCAAGCAATCCTCCTCCTCAGCTTCCCAAGTAGTTGAAATTACAGGTAGTACACTTACTGAAGAGCTTCTTGTACACCTAGTGAAGAGCTTCTTGATTGCCAAAATTTTCCACATCTGCATACTTTCAACATCTACTATAAATCAACTATCTGGGTTGAAGTCTGTAGCCCTAGTTAAAATACTTGTATACTTACTTGTAAATACAGAGTTATCTACACTTATCATCATACCATCAAGCTTTAATATGCATATGCTTCATCAGACTAGCCAACAAATAATCCTTTATCACATTAGAACAGAGTGAAGAACAGGTAAAGTCTAAATTCAGTTCTGATATCTTTCTTAAACATCTACCAAGCTAGATTATATAGAGTAGAAAAGAAAAACACATTTTACAGATTCTTGTCCCCATGAACATTCACAGTTCTATTTAAAAAATAAACATTTTATATATAAAATTCAATGAGCATCAATCAAACCCTAAATCAACTATAATCAGGTATTACAGTGTGTGAGAAAAATAATGAGTACCCTGAATTATATAGAAAGATAGATATATTAACTAGAAGAGTCTCCATAAAAAGGAGGAATTTGAGTGAGACCTAAATAAAAATTATTATATTAATACTAAGCATGTCAAAAATGCCAACTATTAAATTTGTACTACAGGTCAGACACTACGTTAAGCAATTGATGTGGATTATTTTCCCCATTCTTCCTAGCACCACTATAATACACCTTTTATATTTATCCAGACAAGGCTAAACGACATTGGGTAACATGGCCAGTGTTATATAAGCAGTACTTTGTGGAGTCAGAATTTGAACTCAAGTCATATTTCTTACCACTTCCGTCTTAATTGCTAATTCTGATTGAGAAGTATTGTATATTGAGGAAGAGACTTGTAGTATATTGCAAATAAAGATGACTCTAGGAAGGGTGAACATAAGTTAAGCAGGCTCCTGGGGCAAATATGTCAGACCAGAGCACAAGGTTTATATTGGCACATTGCTGAAGCCAACAAAGACCTATTAGGGTAATGAAAGTTCTTGAACGCCTGGATGATAAAGTGTGATGTAATATCATAGATATTGAAGAAATTTTTTTAATGCATTTTTAACATAAAAGAAAGGATGTTTTATGACTCGACAAGCATTGGCTAAAAAGTATACTTTGGGGCGCGGTGGCTCAAGCCTGTAATCCCAGCACTTTGGGAAGCCGAGGTGAGAGGATTGCCTGAGCCCGGCGGTTCCAGATCAGCATGGACAACTTAGCGAGACCTCATCTCTACAATAAATTAAAAAAACTTGCCGGGCATAGTAGCGCATGCCTGTAGTTCCAGCTACTTGGAAGGCTGAGGCAGAAGGATGACATGAGCCCAGCAGGTCAAGGTTGCAGTGACCGTGAGCAAGCCACTGCACTCCAGCCTGGGCGACAGAGTGAGACTCCAACTCAAAAATAAAAGAAGAGTGTACTTTGTTTAGAAGTTAAGAGATATTTGGGTAGAACTACCACTTGATAGGGTGATTGTTATAAACCAGATACATGCCAGGTGATATGGACAATGATTGGAGTTTTGGCAGTCGTAGATGCAGGTGAGACTCAGGCATCCAAGCAAAGCTGAAAACAATGTAGTTGCCACATTTAATCATTGTAACTGTACACGCCATATAGGAATGTGAATTATTAGCTTGGTTGCTTTGATTATAAAACTGCTTGCTGTACTACCCAAAGATGGGGATTCTTCACCAACCTGCCACTGTTGATGCCTCTTGTAAGTTTTAATAAATTAATGACTTTCCCCCCTGGATCCCCACGACACTTCTTTGGAATAGGTAAACATTGCGTGCAAGCCCTCTCAGATTTGGGGTTACTGCATCACCATGGCATTTAAAATGAATACAATCATATAGTATACAATCTAAATGAGACACTTGGAAGAGTGAAAGTAGGGATATCAATAATTACACTGGGACAAAAGATGGAAGGTCTTTGCTTGGTTTTCTAGCCCATCCTCTTCTGATAGCAGTGTATGAATGTGCAATACAATCATAATTAGTGAACAAACACTGCTCCCCAGGTCTCCTGGTCTGTGTCATTTACAGCTGTATTTGCAGTGCCTAACTCACTGCCCAATACACTACAGCACTCAATCACTATTAGCAAAAGGAAGAAAGATGGGCAAGAGGGAGAAATAAATGAGTAAATTAAAGAATTTTAGAAATGTTTTAATCTAGTGTGTGCTTGACGTTAAAATGAAATAGACTTGAGATCTAACATCCTTGTAAAGAAGAAGCTGTGGGAAGCCAGAGGGAGACACAAAGAACTTAGTAGAGAAAGGCAAAAAAGGAATGGCCTGGAATCAGACCTCCTATTGCATAATTTAATACACAACAGATGCTAGGAGTGTGGTCCAAGTACACTTTACCAAAAGATTCTACGCTTGTGTATCAGGTAGACACATTTTTTTTTTTTACCAGAAATAGTTCTTAGTTTTTGAACTTCATATTCCTCATGAATGTCAGTGTGGAACCATTAAAAAAAAAAGTGTTCTCAGCAGCAGAAGCAGTTTAGACATTCTAACTACAAAGGAGATGTGTAAATGTCTGTTTTCTACTTCTGAAAACTGTCACAGTCTTAGAGAAAAAGAAAATTTGCCACGAGCATGGGAACAAAAAAGAAAATAATGAAAAGAACATAATTTAATTACATAAACATAAGCTTTCTACACAGACTAGAGTTAATGTAATTAAAGCACCTGTAACAAAATGAATTAGGGAAATTACTTTCCTCTCTTCTCTTTTTTATCTGAGATAAAGGAAGGAAAATTAGAGATTACACACCATTTGTGAAAAACTTATACTAACTATGCAAAAAGTATACGTGTGTGTGTGTGCATGTATGTGTGAGGGGATCAAAAAGAGAGAGGGATAATATTTTCTGATTCTTGGTTGATATGCCAAAAAAGCAACCAATATTTATAAAAATAAAATTTTTTATAGTAAAAAGATAATATTTATAAGTAACTATAAGTTAATTTTCTCCATGATCATGAGCACCAATGAAACAAAAATTAGATTCGTTTAACAATTTATTGATCACCTTTGTTGTTTTCCCAACTATAATGTCATACCAGGAACTTGCGATTTTTGTTAGGCCAGAAACATTGATAAAGATAGAACCAAGTCATGAATTTAAATATAGAGAAAAAGAATGCTCATTCTAGGAAGAGGAAATACTCCTAAATAGTGGTTTGCCAGCGTTTGATGTGTTAACAGGGCATTTATCGGGGGAGTCATTTGTTTTGTGTCTGTGTTCATGAAGGATGTTTCATTCCAGCTATCTACGAGCCTTCCTGTGAGGCATACAAACACCTAGGCCAGACATCAAATTACTACTGGATAGATCCTGATGGCAGTGGACCTCTGGGGCCTCTGAAAGTTTACTGCAACATGACAGGTAACCGTGTCATATTTATGTTTTATGAAGATTGCGTTTCTATATGTTAAGAATAAATAGTCCCACTGCTAGTTTGTTTTTTTAATGCTATATTTTTTATCATGACATTTAAAAAGCAAAATATTGCTGGATTTCTTAGACAAAATGGTGAAACATATTTCTAAAGCAATATAATCTTTTGACGCTGTTGTTTTTAAGTCTACCTTTGACTTGAGCAATGAATAATTAACATTTAAAAATCAGCATATAAGGGAAAAACCCAGAAAGAAACTTTTCAAGGTTAAATACACAGAATGAACTAATAATCTAGACTGGGGAAATGTCTACCACTTCTCAAATATTACCTTTGTCCATATTAGAGGAAAATTACAGACCTCTCCTGACCTTCCTCTATTTGCCATAATTATACAAGGAACATTTCTAAATACTGAAAGCACATTCTGACAACAGCAAAAATCACATGAAGCTTTCTTGACATTTGTTTGGACTATTCTACTTGAAAATAAAGCCTTAGTTTTTCTCACTTTCAAATTAATTTTAGGGCTTTGAAATAAGATTGTGAGTTCTTGTAAATCCTCTCAACAATGTGTAAGATGCATAGAACTTTAAGATAAAAGTATATTTTTCCATCAGCCTCTTAGCAATATGTTACCCTCCAAAAATCCAGAAAAAGGTGTGAGGCATACACTCTTTACTGACTCCTGGAAAGAACTAGCATTTGATGTGAAATCCTGAGGCATATGATAATAAGAATAATGATAATATGATGTTACTGATGATGATTGCTACATGTGCTTGTTTACCACCTGTCAGGAACTATGATAAATTCTTTAGGAAGATACCTGGGTTTGCATCTGGTCTTCATCTAGCACCAGATGTGTGAAATTAGATACTTTATTGACTTTACTAAACTCAAGAAAGCTTAGAATCTTTATCTGTAAAATGGTTTAGTATAATGTCTACCTCATAGTGTTATTATATAAATAAAATAAGATAATCCACAAATGTTTCTTAACATATTATCCAACACATAGTAAACTTTCAATAAATGTTACTGGAAATAAGTTATTATTATTATTATTATTATTTTTACTAATAGCATTAAGAGTTAAATAACTTCCCACATCATTCAGGCAAGATTCAAATTGAAATCTGTTTTAGGCCATTGATTCCTAAATCTGGCTATGCTTCAGAATCATTATGAAGATTTTTTTTTCATTCAAACTTCTTGGTTCTTTAGAGAATTTAATTCATTGTGTTTGAAGTGGAAATTGGACAGGGCAACTAACACTGAAAAACTAACATTGAACGGGACCGTAGGCAAACAGATGCCAGTGAAGAACTTTCAGCAATTTCAAGAAGCCAGGTGTGGTACAAAATGAAAGGGAGAGTGATGAGGACATGAGTGTAGCATGGAAGACATGTAGAGAAGATGGTAAAATGGGAACTAGACTCCCCCAAATTTCCTCCCATACCAATAACTCTAAGCATGCCCCCGAGGAGGAACCCACTTACTACAGAGGTTGACCTAATAGTTCACTGATAGACTTGTCAATGCACTCCAGATCTTTCTTGTTTATTTTCATTTAACTCTTACTAGAACTAAAGTATAACCTATGATAACTTGATTAATCTACAGGAGTCTTGACTTTGGTTTCTCCTAATATGTGAAAATATATAATGCAATTAAATCAAATTATTAATCTTAAGAAAACTCTGGGTATCCCGGCTGAGAATAGACAATTAAGAATGTATTTAGTTTTTTTCCTATATACATCACAAAGGAGAATTAGAAAAACAAAACCATAATGTGTACAATTATCATGCCCCAAACACACACAAATCAAGGACTACTTTACTTTTGGTAGAGCTTCTCTTTGTGTGAATTGAAGCTCAGATACATAGGTCTCATTTTCATCAAAGTCTTCTATAAAGAACATGACTCATTTAACTCAATATTCCAGATGCAGTCTGAGCAGTAAGGAGTGTAGTCTAACCTTCTGAAGTTAGAATGTTTTTTTTCTATTTATTAAAGGTGCTTAGGAACATCAGCGTGTTCATGGACCCTTGCAGAATCTTGCCTTACAGGCCAGTGGGCACCTTTTGGCCCTTTGCCACTCATCAACCCTTCCTTCTTATGGAAAGAACATGGATTTAACATCATTAAGAGAGTATGGTGCCACACAGCTTGGCTTGGGCTATTCCATTTACAAGAGATGTATGTTAAGAGGAAGGAATGACAGCATGAGATATTCTATAAAATCTTGATATATGACTAAGTCATGAAAAATTGTAAATGCACCCCAAGCCTAAAATAAAGGGAGAGAAGACACTCAAAAAGGAGAGGAAGAGGAATGAGCCCTATAAATCAACACCCCAAGGCACAAAAAAGATTGGTTCATTCCCAAGAACTGAATTCCTGTGTCTGGAGCATAGTGAGACAGAGAAGGGCTCAAAATGAAGGATGGTGTGGGACAGGCAAGAGCCAGAGCAAACCAGCACTAAGAAATGTAGAGCAGAAAAAAGTTTGATTTTATTTTTTAAATTATTTTTTAAATTGCAGCAAGTGGGAATCCATGGAGAAGTTTTAAGCAGGAAAATGAGATGATCTTGATTGCATTTACAAATCTACCACTTAAGGTGATATGAGAAAACAATGGGACCAATTCTGAAGCTATTATAAGAACCCAACAAAGAGAGGATGCTTTCTTGGACTAGAGTGGTAATGGTTTAAGTGATGAGAAGTAGATGCATACTAGATCTGTTTTGAAAACAGAATTGTCAGGATCTGTGAAAGATTGAGTAAAAATGTTTAGAGAAAGATAGGCAGTTATTAATACTAACTCCTAAATATATGAACTGAATAACTGAAAGAATTATAGTGTCATATAGGAGATGTGGAAAACTAAAGGCAGAACAGATTTAAAGGAAGCTCAAAAATTTAGTCTTGACTGAATTAAATAAGTGTTCTATGCCATCTAAACAGGGATTCAAATTTTGCCATTGGATGAGCCCCCAAAGTCTGTTTGGGTAGAAATATAAATGTGTTCATTTGTAGCATATTAATATATGAGAATTGGTAATGTCACTTAGGTGTTGATGTAACAGAGAAAAGGCATCTCAGGAATGAGCACTTAAAAATCCAATAGGTAAAGATTCTGGAGATGAAATATTTAATAAGTGTGTGAAAATATATACATAATAGAGGCTAAGTAGAGGAAAAGTGTCTGAGAGCATTTTGGGGGCAAACAGGTCATCCATGCGGAGGGTGGGTCCTAGAGAATGACAAAAAGACTTGGAAGATGGAGAGCAACTTTGAATAGATGCAAACGTATATAGTGAATGTGGTGAGGTAATAAACGTATGGCAAGTAATAACAACTAGAATGTAGGGAATGGGGCATAACCAGAAATGATGACCCTTCTAGGGAGCCTGCATACATAGCTTGGGGGCACCATGGATTGACTACATATCTTGGAAGTTAAGGGGTACCCCAAATGACGCAGCATTTCAAGTACTGTATAAGGGACCAGCAGGATCTTCCACAAAATGGCGAAATCACAAGCTGGATCTTGAAGAACAAGTGGACATTATGGGGCTGAAAAATTAGGGGAAGAAATAGTAGGTCAACTTATACATGTTTAGAACAGTTGAAACTGTTCTAAGGTGAAAACAAGCAATTGGTGGTTTCAACCTTTCTACTTCAAAAGAGTAATATAATCAAGTATTGTATATTTAAAACATTACTTTGGCAACTGTGGATAAGATTCTCCAAAGGAGATCTAGACATAAGACAGGAAGACAAGTTAGAAAATCCCTGTAGTAATTTAGGAGTTGAAAATGAGACTTATAAAAGTGGTGACAATAAAATAAAATAGGAAGAAATTGAGTTCATGGATATTTAAGAAGTTGAGCTAGTCAGACTATTGCTGGTGAGACAGAAAACATTGAAAATGATAATCTTATGAGATAGAGCACAAGAAAGCAGGAGAAAATTAGGAAAGGAGAAAATGGGATTCTATGTGACTTTACATCCCTGTAATTCAACCAGGTAAAGCTATCCTGTAAGTAGACACTACACAAATTCACTGTGTGATCTTGAGCACATTTATTAATCTCTTTGTCTCAGTTTCCTTATAAATAAACTGTAGGAATTGGAATAAATTGATTTCTACACTGCCTTTCATTCAAAAAAAGAGAAAAATAATTTCTATTATTACCAGAGAGCATGAAAAAAATCACTATATGCAGTCAAATAATTTAGACAGAAACTCTTATCTCAAACAAGCTTGAATTTACTCATGTCTTGGCCAAGTTTGACATAAAGTGGCTCTCTTTCTTTTTTACCATAAAGCAGTTCTTCCACTATATAATTCTTCTGACTATCTGCAATTCAGAGCTGTATCTGTTGGAAATTTGAAAATTAGGGGGTGCCCTAAATGACAGAGCATTTCAAGTGCAGCACAGTTGACATTAAGGAAATATTTTCACTGAATGCTTTGTAGAATTCATCATTCTGTGAAAGCCAAAGACTGGTTTCCTTTTTTTAGGTCTTAGGGTACAAAGGTGATCATTATTATCCTTGGCTTCCCTCTCCATTTTTATCCTCTCTCTGAAAATTGGATGTTATAATCTTTATGAATGCACACTATCTTGTATTTCCAGAATATACTTTTCTGAATTGCACCTCTTTTTCTAACATTTAAGCTTTCTATTTCTATTTTATTCAGGTGTTTACCAACATCTCCCCAGAAACCTTGAACTTTTATATTTAAAGCATCATATAGTTATTTTTGCCCAATGATTAATAATGGCAATAGTAAATAAAACTAGATCCAGCCATTATCCCCAGAAACTCACTGTCTATCCTTAAACCTAAAACAATATTTATCTTAATACTCTATCCTCTAATTCATGTTATCTATAACTCTCTTTGCAGTCATATTTAATTTTTTAAAATTTAAGCAAGCATCTGTGCTCTAGTATGTGAAGTTTGAAGT